TATGAGTATATTTAAATTAAATGCTGTAATCCATAGTCCAAACTGTTATTTTCTTGTCCCAAATATTTATCCATTCCAGAGTGCATCAGGTAACATGCTTCGCTCTGTTCTACACTAACGTATGTTTTGCCTGGGCTTGGCCGTGAGAGCAGCATGATTGCAGGACTAATTAGCACCTGGGGCCACGCGCCGCCGCCTCTTCACTGCCAGACTAACAGGAAAAACCGCGCTCGCTGACTCTTCATCACCCGAAAAACAACTAAATTTTCAGCACTAATTGAGGATCACTCACTTTTCATGCCAAAAATGGCACTGTGATTTTGGGCCGTCTGTAGAGAAAGGGCATGGAACACGTTTTCATGGGGAAGTCCCAGAGCAGAGAGAGGAGTATGGCACAGGTGGGTAGACCCCCCAGAAGACGTACAGCTGAGTGTAAAGTCACCGCTCTTTGACGCGCCCTACTGCACGGGGAGCAGCCCCAGGGACCCCACTGGGGGCGCGAGCGCGGCGCGCAGCTTTCTCCAGAAGACGCGCTGGCGGTCCGCGGGCGCCGTATCGCACCACTCCAGGTAGATCCTGGTGTTGAGCAGGTAGCGCAGCGTCGGGGTGAGCAGCGCGTCCTGCACGGCGCCCAGCCTGACGACGAGCAAGGCGTCCTCGGCGAGCAGCCGCTGGTGGTGCGCGATGTGCGCCTCCCACGCGCACCAGTGCGAGCGCGCGAACGCGGGGCTCACGACCAGGACGACGCGCCGGCTCGAGGCCACGCTGCTGAGCACGGCCTCGGTGATGGCCGCGCCCACCGTGAAGTCCCGCTCGTACACGCACAGCCGGAAGTGGGGCGCCTCGTTCTCCAGGGTCGTCACCATCAAGTGCACGAAGGCCTGCGGGCGAGACACTGTCATACTGAACCTGCCCCCCGCTGCGCGAGCGGGCCCCCCTGGAGCACCAACTTACCTGGTCCTCGTTGCTGTAGGACACGAACGCGTCGTACTGGAAGTTGGCGTGTGCCGCCAGCTCCCGGGCGCTGTCCCGGCGGCGCCCCGCGATTGTGTCCAGGTAGTAGCGCAGGTGGTGGCGGAGGCGGTAGGTGACGGCCGCCGAGCCCAGCAGCAGCAGGAAGAGGAGCCCCAGCAGCAGCCCCACCCACCACAGCGGGGCGGCCGCGTCGACCGGCCCGCACGCCGAGTGCGCCGTCGCCCACTGCAGGAACTCGTCGATGGTGCGGTTCCACCAGCGGTCCGGCGACAGGCACTTGTATCGACCGAGCTGAGCATGGGGACCAGGTATACATGACCGGCTTGGCGTATCTGGGCTTGAAATAGTTTGACTGGCGGCAAACTGGTTACCTTCGACGTGAGGGTGACGACGCCAGTGTCGCTCGTGAGCAGGCGCGCGCTGGCCGGCTGGTACAGGTCGCAGCCGCAGTGGAAGGTGTTGTCGGCGAGGTCCAGGAGGTCCACGCCCTCGGCCTCCTGCAGCATGGCGGCCGTGAGGTACGTAAGGCGGTTGCCCGCGACGCGCACCTCGCGCAGGTGCTCGTTGTTGTCGAACAGAGCGCTGCGCCATGGGCCGATGCGGTTCCGCGACACGTCGAGGCGCTCGAGCGCGCGCAGGGGCCGGAAGGCGGAGGAGCCGTCCAGGGTGAGGAGGTTGTTGTCCTGCAGGTCGAGCTGCTGCAGCGAGGACAGGTGGCGGAACGCGTCCGGGGCCAGGCTGCGCATGCCTTTTCCACCCCGGAAATTTCCAAAATTATATTTGCGTTATGTGGGACTTCCCCACCTCCCCCTACGACAGCAGACACTTACTGCAGCCCGCCAGGAGCAGGACCCGCAGCCCGCCGAGCCCTTGGAACAGTTCGGCCCGCAGGCTGTGGTACAGCGGGAACGGGTTGCCGCTGAGGTCCAGGCGCTCCAGGCGTTCCATGGGCAGGAAGAGGCCGTCGTCCAGCCTGAAGAGGGACGAGTTCCGCAACGTCAGCACCTGCAGGCGCACACAAAGATGCCAGTGAATGGCGCTCGACCCTAGTGCACCGTAATAAGGTCACGCCGCTGACCTGCAAGCTGCCGAGCCCCGCGAACGTCACGTTGGTCAGCCTGAACACGCGGTTGTACGACAGGTCGAGCGAGCGCAGGCGGCTCATGTTGCGGAAGGCAGACGAGGCCAGGTTGAAGTAGGGGGCCGCGCTGGCGGTCATGTTGAGGACGAGCAGGCGGTCGGAGAGGAAGCCGGGCCACAGACCGGGCAGCCTGTTGCCGCCGAGGTCCAGCTGCTCCAGATCCGGGACCACGTCGGCAGACAGCCCGCCGGGGAGGCCCTCCGTCAGGTCGACGTGGCTCAGGTCCAAACGCTGCAGCCCGGGCATGCGAGGCAGGGTGCCGTTGTGGAGGCGCGCCACCTCGTTGCCGTGCAGCACCAGCTCCTTCACCTCTGACCTGCGGACAGACACGCGCCCTGTAAGGACACAGCAAGCGTTTGGGGGGCGGGGGCGCGGGCAGGGGCGGGGGCCGGCGGCGTACCTCGCGATGCTCTGCAGAAGCTGGTGGAAGGGCCCATCGGGCTGGTCCCATGGCCTAGTTTGACTGGTGGTAGGCGGCGTGGGGTCGTCGAGTATCTGCGACTGAGACTCCTCTGTGGCCTCCGTCGTGGCGGAGGTGCTTATCCAAGAAGGGGAGTCCTCGGTCGTAACCCCGCTCTGGGGGTCTGGGCCGGCCGTAAGGCCAAAGGTACCAGAAGTGTTGAAGGCGGACGTGGGCCGGAGCGCCGGCCGCAGGCGCAGGCTCAGCGCCATGGAGCCGAGGTCGAGCTTCTGCAGCGCCACGCCGAGTGCGCCGAGGTGGTCCAGGGCGGCGGCCAGCTGGCCGGCATCCAGGTGGTTGTCGTTGAGGTTCAGGTCGGCGAGGCGGTGCAGCGGCGCGAGCCCCTCGGGGTGCAGCGCGCCCAGGTCGCACTCGGCCAGGCTCAGCACCTCGAGGGAAGTCCCGGCCATCGGTCGGAAGTCCGGGGCCTCCACCGCGCGCAGCGCGTTGTCGTCCAGGTTGAGGACGACGAGGCTCGGCAGGGTGCGGACGGCGAGCGCGGGCGTCACGTCGCCGAGGCGGAGGAAGCCGTTGCGCATGAGGTAGAGCTCGCGCAGCGCCGTGAGCCCCTCCAGCGCGCCCGGCTCGAGGTGCCGGAGGCGCGGGAGGAAGGACAGGCTGAGGTTGAGCAGCAGCGACATGCCGCGGAACGCGCCGGGCTCCACGCGCACCATGGCGCGGCTGTTGTCCACGGCCAGCTCGGTGAGGTGCTGCAGCAGCCGCAGGTCGCCGACGGACAGCCGCGCGATGCTCGTGGCCCGCACCTGCAGCACGGCCTCCCCGAAGTACGTCCGCACCTGGAGCACAGCGCGGTAGGTCATATCGGTGCGTTCGGCCCGAAATCAAGCAGCTGAAAAACTAGACATTTTGCCATGACGACCTTTTCGTGCGGTGCGACTCACCGTCACGTTGCTGGGGAAGCGCGTGCAGCTGACGTGGTCGAAGCAGAGGACGTGCCCTTCCGGTGCGGCCTTCTTGCAGGAGCAGCCACTCAGCGGGTCGTGGACGATGGCCCAGCGGGCGTCCTCCACGCCCACGTTGGGGTCGCGGCCGCCGGCCACCGGCGCAGCGTGCTTGGCGGCGGCCAGCCCCAGTAGCAGCACCAGCCACATGATGTCCGGCCTCTGCCCCCCGCGACGGACATCGTCAGCCCCGCGGCGCACAGCGCGCTGTCGTCGCTCCGGGTCCGCTGCTCCGCCGTCGCCGACTCACCGCTCGGCCTGGAAGCTGATTAATCTGAGATTTTTACGTCCGCGTCAAATCTGAGATGAGCGAGGTGTTCTTGTTGTGTACCCCCCCCCC